GTTGACTATAATATTTAAATAGCATCTTGATATCCCTGCCAGTGTTAGAGAGACGGCAATGGTTGACTATTCAAAAAAAGAAGTTGTTGATGATATTGAAGCTTCTAAAAAAGGAAACACTGTTTCAGCGAAATTATATATCGTTTATGTTTGCATCGTGATATAATCAGTCCAAAATGAAGGGATTCTATTCATGATAAGGTGAACATAAAAAAGATATCAGCTCCATTGATGCATGCCCCGGATCCACAAGAACGACATCGAAAGTAAATTGCAAAATTGTTATCCAAAAACCATCATGTTGCTTTACTCTCCGAGTTTAAATCATAAGACATGGTTCAACACGAGTTTAAAAATATACAATCTAAATCGCAAGATAGATATTGGCCTAGTCACATTACCATTTTGTCGATATTTGCTCCACAAGTAGTGTCATCGGTGCAAAAAGTTCGCCTGCACTGTGGATGTTGTGGGACAATCAACAAAATCTGGTCCTTTGGACGCACGTCTTGCAATTCCACTATGTAAACGGAATCCGTAATATACATGCTTTTAAAGTATGTTACGGAAACACAACAAAAGTCACTCGTGAGATTGAGGCTTACACCTGAGACATCTTATTGTAAGCTAGCTGTCTGCATAGACATAGAACTTGTATTTAGTTCTGGAAATGTTAGTAATATTATTTTTTTTTAAATTAAATTTGTGTAATAATAATACAAAATTACCAAATTTATTATTTTTTTAAAAATCACACCCGCTTGTTTTCATATACTACTACAATGGATTAACATTATTACCAAAACGTGTTTTTATATACCATATTTATAATTAAAATTTAATTATTATTTATTATTTAATTAAAATTTCTCCTTCACAAAAAAAAAAATTTATTTTTAAAAAATTGTTTAAAAATTTTTTAATGCTAAAAAAAAAACTTTTAATAAATCGTTGTATATTTGATGAATCGGTGATTTAATAATAATAATTATTATTTATGCACTAGATCACAAAAATACATCATATCATCATCATCAAAAAAATCATCATTAACTTAATTTTAAAAGAATTTTTTTTTTTTTGATTTTCGATTATCTTTTTCTCACACTTCTTTCTTTCTTTCTTTCTCTCTCTCTCACACACACACACACACTCTCTCTCTCTCACTCACTCTCACGCACACTTCCTTTCTCTTTCCCATTTTCGATTACAATCAATTAAAATATTAATTTATTTATTTTTACGCGTAAATTAATGTAATTGATTGATTATTATTGTGTTATTATTATAGGTTTTGCTTAATGCATCATCATTCATACAGTATATATATTATGCTTTAATGCCAATAATTAATTAATATAATATTTATATAATCTGTTATTTATTTTATTATTATTGCTGCATCAATTGATGGTTTTTATTACGTGTTTTAATATCTTTGTGTATGAATATAATATATTGTAGGTATGTATATATTGTTTTATATGGTCTTCGTTGTGTTATTGTTAATTTTGATTTATTAATTCATTAATTCATTCATTCACTCATTCATTCATTCCTTTGATCAATAATCTCTCTCTCTCTCTCTTTTGAATATAAAAAACAAAAATTAATTAAATTTTTTAAAAATAATAATATTTGTAAAAATAATAATAATTGAACTCCTTTCCTAATTTAATTATCTTCATCAAAAAAAAAAAACTAAATCAAAATAAATCTAAATCAAATCAAATCAAAAATCAAAAACATCAAAATCAATCAATCCAATCAATCAAACAAATAATCAATATATATTATAATTATAGTTAACCCTGAAAATTAAATTAATTTTTTTTTTTAGTTATTTTTTTATTTTTTTTACAGTATCACACATTTAAATCAACTCTAAATTTATACAATAATAATAATAAATATATAAATACTCCCTCACACACACACATTCATAAATCCAAATTTTTCACTAAAATTTTTATTTTTTTTTAAAAAAACAACAACTTTCAACCAATCAATTATATACCATTATTTAATTTATTAATTGGTAAACTCTAAAAATTTTTTTTTTCTGCACAAAAAAAACAAACTTTTAATTTTCTTTTCTCTCAATACAACATTTCTCTTCCATCTCTCTCTCTCTATATATATATATTTACCGAGTAAATAAAAAACAAACATTCAAATATAAAAATTACACACATCTCTACATATATATGTATATTATATTATAACACATATATATTATTTTATACATTATTATAATATAATATATATATATATATTATAAATATATTTGAATCAAAAAAAATAATTTTTTTAGATATATATATAAACTTCTAATTCATTAAAAAAAAAAATTTATCCCATCATTCTTCATCAATTTTTATAAAAAAAAAATAAAAAACCATTCAAAAAAATTAATTAATATTTTCTTTTTATATATTTATATAGAATAAAAAAAAAATAAAAAAAAAATACAAAAAAATACTATTTTATTTTATATATTTTTCGTTATATATTTTTTAATTAAATAATCGTATAGTAGATTAATAATCGGGTTTCTACTGCGTACACTCTTTTTTTCACGTTTTTTTTAATTCTTTTTCTTCTTTAAAAAAAAATAATCGTTTTTTTTTTAATTTTAATTTTTCTTCCTTTTTTTCCTTTTAATGGTTTCGTCTTTTATAAATATCGTTACGGAGACGAACAAAATTGCAGCAACAGTTGAATCAGATATAATAACAACAACAACAACGACAACAACCTCTGAAATAATTGAAGCAACAACAGCTTTAACATCAATCCCAAAAACAAAATCTTCGACTGACATAATACTAATAATGCCTTCTCAAATCAATCAAACTAATAAAGATAATATAGGTAATGATAATAATGACAATTCCTCCTCGTCGTCGTCTTTACAACAATCAATTGCTACTACAATTACCGCCACCACATCTGCCGACATAATTGAGATATCAAAAAAAGAACGTAAAGCTTCTGTAATAGATATACCAAACTTACTATGTAGCGATGATTTTTCTTCTGAAATAGTTACAACAACAACAACAACAAACAATTCAACAATTATTGCTCCAAAATTAACCACAAACACTGGAAGCAACAACAATAATAATGACAATGAAGATGATGATAACGATGAATATTCTTATGATATTCAATCTAATAAATCATCACCAACTAATTATCCCTCTACTCATTCTGAAATCGGTAGTGTTGGCGGTATAATTACAAGCGGTAGCAACAGTAGTAGTAATCATGGTTCTCATCATAATCACAACATTAATAAAGATGATCTTTCCAATTCTATCACTCCTAATAGTCCTGCTCAATTATCACATAATAACAACAACAATAATAATGTCGATCTTTTAAAAAAATCTTTAATAATTACAACTACAAGTTATGATTATGAAGACGACGAGGATCTTAGCAATCGATCTTCTTGGAAAAGACAACGTTTAAACAACGATGATAACAATAAAAACGAAAATTCTTATAGATTACCTCCAATAGGAACATTCAATTTTGATTCAACTACCATCAATAATAATAACAACAACACTGCTAATAGTAGTGGCGCTAGTATTATTACTAGCGAGAAATTGACATCGCCGGCCGATTTGACTTCTCATAAACCTTGGTGTCAACTTCATTCTCTTGAACAGTTTGCTGCTATAACTGAAATTTATGCTACTGCAAATAACTTTGTTCACCATAACAAAAACATCAAAAATAAAAATAACAACAACAACGAAATCTTAAATAATATCAATTCATCATCATCCTCCTCATCATCATCCTCCTCATCATCATCATCGCCACCATCATCCTTTTCATCCACCTCTACCACTACTTCTCCTACAACATCGCCATCATCTTTTGCTTCAACTGCTGTTACTACACCCATTACCACTACTGCAACTGTCGCCTCACCTAATAAATCATTATTACCATCATCAATAATTAATAACACTTCTTCTCGTCTAATTCAATCACAATCTCTTCCTTTAATTACTAATATTGGTTTGGGAAGTGCTAGTCATCACCATCACAATTATTTTCAACAAAACCAAAACTATCATCACCACCGCAACAATAGTAATCAATTCATACGTAGATCTTCTTTTGATGTTGCTCATACACGTTATTCTCCTTATGTTAATCATCCCGTCTATCCTCAATCGTCATCTTCATCTTCACGTATCATCTCTTCTCTTGATCAAAGACGTCATTCTGATTTGCCAAGTTATCCTAATAATTTAAATAATGGAAATCATCATCATCATAATCATTTTACCTACAATAGAGATGATAATATTAACAATAGATATAATCAAATTAGTCCAATTAGTCCAATTAGTCCAAACAACAACAACATCATCAATAATAGTAATAATAATCAATATATGCTTCGCAGTCCTCTTTCTACAAATACTGCCAATGCTAATAATACTAATATTAACACTAACAACAATAATAATACTATTGTGCCTTATCCCACTCCTCCAATAACTCATCATCACCTTCCAATACCACAGAATCAACATCCTCATCACCCCCACCACCCCCACCACCCTCATCCTCACCACCATCACCACCATCTTGCCGCAACTGTTGCTTATTTGGATCATCAAAGCAGTGCTGCTACCATGTTAAAAGCTAAACGAAAACGTGCAAATGCAAATCAACTCAAAGTATTGAATCAAGTGTTTCAACACACTTTTTTCCCTTCAACTGAACTACGTATTCAATTAGGTAAACAACTTGGTATGTCTCCTCGTACCGTACAAATTTGGTTCCAAAATAAACGTCAGAGCTGGCGTAGTAAGTCAAGAGGTTCAAATAACAACAGCAACAACGGCAGTAATAATCATAAAGATGGTGAAGAGGATGAAGAAGATTGTATTATCGATGAAAATGGAGAAAATAAAAATAATAAAATTCAACAACTTGATGATGATGATATCGACGAAGAAATAATTGAGGAAGGTGATATTAATGAAGATGACCTTATTATTAGTGAAGATGATGATATCACTAATAATAATAACAACGTTAATCACGATGATGTAACTAATGATAATGTTAATAACGGTGTAGCATTGGATTCAAGACGTTCAAGTAGTTCTTCCAGTTCTTCAGAAAATATTATTAAAATAGCATCTACAACTGCTACAACAAACCAAAACCAATCTCAACATGATTATTATACTCGTAATAATGTAATAGATTATTATCGTCCATCTTCATCTCATAACAATCAATCTATTAGCCCAATTCATAACCATAGTGGTAATGGTAGTAACAGTAGCAGCGAAAGACTTCCAGGTTTTGCATCTACATTTGCTAACGCTTCCAATACATCTGGTACTAGCAATAGCACTGCTAATAACAACAACAATAATAATACATCATCATATTATCATCATTCGCACAATTCTAATGTTACAACCACCGCCGCCGCAACTAATAATAATAATAATAATAATAATCATAATAATAAATTACCATCTCTCTTGACTTCACCATTAACAACACATGGGCGCCGTCATCACCACCATCACCACCACCATCATCGCCCAACTGCCTTTGGTTATCAACCAACAGTAACTAATGGAATTTAAATTTCATAAAATAAAAAATCTTATATAGTTGTTGGAGATGGATATTTTTTATTTTAAGAATTATGGAATTACTATTATTTTTTTACGGCGGTGGCTTTCTTTAAAAAAAACTTGTACAAATTGTAAATATATGCTACTTTTATGTGTAATATTTTTTTTCTTTATTTTTTTTTTTGGCAACTTCGTGTTTTTATATTATGGCATTGGGAATAAAATTTGGGTTTTAAATATATAACAACAACCACAAACAAAGAACTCTTTCAAATTTTTTTTATAGAAACACGCAAATATTTTTCGCCAAAAAACCCCCTCTCATCTCACTTTTTCTTTTCGGCTGGTTTCGAACGGGTTTTAATTTTCGTTTCAAATTTTTTATCGTTATAGATATATACATATGTTTTTATTTTATTAGTTAGTCGGCAAAAAAATCATTTCTTTGATGGCAAAAAATTATTTACATTATATATAATATAATATAATACATTGGCAAATTTACACATAATTTCTATTTCTTAATTGTAATGGTTTTCTTTAATTTTTAATTTACTACTAATGGCAATTTTGGCAGGAAAAAAATAATAATAATTAATACATACCTAATATATATAAACATTTTTAATAATTAATATAATATATTTTTTTTCATGTCACAACAAAACAAAAAACCGATAAATTTTTTTAAGAAAAAAAAAAAATAAAAAAACAATCATAATTTTGGTTTTTAATTTGTAATGTTATATATTTTCGCAAATTTTCATATATAAAATTAATATTAATATTTGCAACATAGTAAAATTTTCTTTTCCTCCGTTCAAAATCAAAATCATTGAGTATTTGATATTAATTTAAAATCAAAGATCCTTTTAATGAACTTGAAAGAAATGAACCACCAAACTTATTGAATCAACTTCAATGCCAATTTAAAAGTGTAACATTAAAGTTATCAATAAAATGTTAAAATATTACTTCTAAATGTGCAGGATAATAATAATAGATTTACTCATTCTGTTTGTGTTCTTATAATTAAATACCTATATCAATGAATACAGTTCACTCTCTCTATAACGGATCATTTGTCTGGGGAAAAAAGATCCGTTATTAGTCGTGTGACATTTCCCTTAGGCTGCTTTTCTATATGTGAAAATAAATTCGAAATTCGTGTCACATGAAGTTTTTTTAAAATATCTCGTGATTTTTATAATAA